TGAAATCAAAATGTTGCATACCCCTGGCTTTAGTTTATCTGATATCTTAGCATGACGTAGCGACGCGTCACGAATGTCACATAAAAACCCGAGACAGAGCAGTCATGTTCTACGCATGACTCATTGAGGAATTGAATCGAACAAAATACTTCGCTGTAGGAACATAACTGCGGGGTCAAAGTGCATTCGCTTCGCAGCGATTCCATAGCGAACTTTAAGGATGTATGTAACTGACGCTCGACAATCACCTGTCTTATCCAAAGTTATTGTCAGTTCTCTACATTTTTGAAGTTCATTATGCATTTTGTCTAACGCTCCTGTTGTCTTTATCTATTATAACAAATTATATTTGACATAGCGCCATCTATTGACGCGCTTTAATAAATTGTTTTAAATTAAATATCGAGTATTTAACGATGTAATAAAGATAACAATGATTCTGTTTTTCAATTTAGGTTAATCAGAAATACTAAAACAAACAATGTTTTCAAGTATTTTTTTAATTTTAACAATTTGCCTGACCAGGATTTTAACATTTACTTGATAAGTCTAACTTTACGGCAATTTATAGCGCTTGAATTTTCTTATCTTGGTATCTTTAGTGTACATTAAGAAGTCAATATATAGTATTGCTTTACGACATTATTACGCGACATTTGGCGTCCAATTGCGTCCAATGACGCCTGACCACGGACGTGTTCCGAATACAAAGTAATTGAGGTTAAAATAAATTTTATATTGACTACGTTTGTTATTATGAAGGTCACGTTTTGCGAGTTCTGTAGTGTCATACCACGCCACGGAAGCTATTGTTTTTCGTATCATTTTATTTCCGTTGTTAGTAGTATTTTGACATACGAGTAATGAGGGCCTAGCACGAATATTCATGAGAACGCGCTCGTAACGTCATCGATAAAAAATATTAAAATTTGTGCAGCGCCCCTACCGGGCTTAAAGTACACTAAAAATCTCTTAATTTACGGGCCGCAGTTTTACCATCACTGTTCTAGTTATTATAGTATTCAAAGTTTATGACGGCTCCTAATTAGCAGCAACTGTTTTCGCAGATCGAAGTTACAAGCCTATATAAAAATTGAATGGAACTATACCGTTAAAATCTTAATGTATTCGATGTTTTGCAACAGCGGCGGTCCGTGACCGTTCCACTCCTGGCTATAAGGTCGCTCAGCGGACGTCCAACGATGGTCATCTCCAAGATTTATTATGTTTACTTAAATTAGAACATTCTAGATTAAAATTTTTATGTAAATAGGATGTACCGAAAACGTCGCATGACCTTACGCTAGCTTTTAAAATGTATTACACCGTTGCGTTCATTTAAAAAGCTGACTAACTTTAAAGCGTATTAAAATTTTACCGAATAAAAAAATATAAAATTAAAAAATCAGGCGTTATGTTGTGTTCAAACTTGTGAAATTGAATATTTGTAAAGGGTCTGGAAGAAACATAGGCTACTATTTTTTTTTTATTAATTCCGCACGGAGGCAGTGGCGGGCGACAGCTAGTAGGAATATACAATGATGTATGAAATAATAATTGAGTCGTGTATTCAATTAACAATGTCATACAACGCCGAGAGATCAAATGTCAGTAATTGTTACGCGACGCAACGCGCGCGCGCAAAACAAACATGGCCGCGCACACGTGTTAATGAAATACGAGTGTTGCCGTATTTTATGTGTCAAATTACATGTTTTTTCTGGCAATAATGTTAAGATAACTACGGCCTTATAACTTGGGTTTTTACAACATAACATCGCTAATGAATCAGAATATAACGACAAAATATATTTGTTTGCTATTACATTTTTTTAAACATTTTAACTGTATTGTTTTTGGCATTTGTTTAAGTAAATGATAAAGGCGTTATTAGTGTTTTTAAATTAAAATCAAGTTTAACAGTTAACATTTAGTTGGCACATATTGAGGAGAGTACACTTCTATTCGACGTGCCAACTCAAACGCAGTACATTTTGTCACAAGGTTAAAATTATATACTTCTTATAAAACCTGATTACGTCGTAAGGAGGTCGTCTGTCCTCGTCAACGACCTTTGTTCTCAATTATTTTTTAAACAATGTCTGACATAACCAACCGTTGTGCTTAACAATTGTGGAAGCAAAATATTTTGATGGACATTTATAATGAAAAGTCGGTTTAATTTAAAGTTCATAATGTCTTTACTAACATTATATATTCATAAAAAAGTACATAGTCTAATTTTTATCCTATTCCCTTCCCCTTCCCTTCCCAACATTTTCGGAGAAAGGGAAATAGATTTGACACAGAAGACGATTGATTGGGAATATCCTCTTAGTCAGCTCCTTTGCCTTTTTACAACAGACAACTTTTTATTTTTTTACATATTTCTATGGGTATGGTAACCATCAGGTGACTGGCTAGCATTCGTTTGCCACCGTATTTTATAAAAAAAAAATTCTTTGACAAAAACAATGTAGCAACGATGACATCTTACGAATTAGTGTCAACTCTTTTAAAAAGCAATTTATTCCGCTTTTTTAATCTACTTAACCTCTATTAACCTTTTATTAAAACAGGCTCTCGTTCCAAATACATCTAATTATTCAATATCTACATCTAAAAATTCTAATTCGATCGTTTATTTTTTATATTTTTTTTATTCTTTATAATATTATGTAAGTAAATCGAATATTTCTCGAATAGTTCTCATGGTGAAGAGGCATATCGTTACGTTAATAAAAAAAAAAATTGAATTTGGAACATTTTGAAACCGGAATTTTCCCGTTAGTAATCGAGCATCTTTGAGGTTTTGGAAAATGATTTGATATGAAACAAAGACGCTCATGGGATGACCAATACATGTCGCTTTTAAAATATTGATGTTAACCGCTATTAGCATATAACTGTTTAAGATTAACCGTTATTACAAAACTGGTTATAACACTCACAGGACTTTCGTTATGTTACCCAAATAAATAGAATTTGGACACATAAATCTTTAGGGTTGGCACACAAAGAAGACAATCTTTTAAATCGCAATCCCTAAAATTCTAATTTTATTCAAGGTAAAAATATACAATAAAAGTGATAACCCTTACAACCATGAACCTTATCTTTATTTACGCATACATTGCTGTTTATGTATTGTGTGTTTAAACATTTGTTTTGAAGCAAGCATTGGACACGTTCTGTTAATTAGGGCTGTCTCAGTTTTCGCTAACAGTAAACTAGAAACGGTTACACTTATTAGCATACTGGATATGTATATTTAATATGATAAAGCGTGTTTTATGTTAATATACTAGGGCTGTGCCAGAAATTAATTAATTTATTACAAAGCATTACTGAATAAAATTGATAATATGAAAATAGCTATCGAATTATTTGTGTAAAGATGATACTAACATGTTTTTTAATTACGTTATTAGGTTAACGGTGAAATTAAATAACATACTGTATACATTATAATAATAATTTAGCAACTTATTAACAGTGATAGAAGCCAACAACATTTGCTACACGAATAGGCTTCACTACAATACCACGACCACACAGAAGACAGGTGACAAGCGGAATTTATTCCTCGTTTCGTTTGATGAATGTGCATTCCGGTTGCCTAAGGCCTTTCCCTTCTCACTCTCTTCTTATAAAAAGGATGACAAAGGGAAGTTAATTTAGGGTCCTTCATTAAGCGAGCATATCACCATCTCATAGGCCAGCAACACATCTGCGATTCCTCTGGTATTGCTAATGTCCATGGGCGTGGATGAACACCTTGGTGTTTTCCGCTACTCGTTTGCCCCCTTCTCTTATAAAAAAGTGATGGATGGAGAGATGTTTAGGAAGTGATAATATTGTCATGCAGTGCATCTCCTACGTCAATGCAATTACGGATGTCAATGGGCAGTGGTCGCTTGCACGTTTTCCACCTTATATTATAAAAAAAAGATTCGCCAGGCAAATAGGAAACGTTGCGTCATAAAGTATCACTAAGTTATTCCTGGTATGGGCATGAGGTCACCGAGAACAATCATAACTTGATCTTAAGTTATTTTAACATTCACACGACAAGTCCAACACGACCATAGATTATTAGAAGTGTAAGAATGAACAATTGAAATATTAAAATAAATGTTGGAATATTTTTAGGAAAGTGAATTAGGAATTTTCATCATCATCAACTCTCTATACGTCCCCACCGAGGGGCTCGGAGTCTACCCTAAATTAAGGGTGATTAGGCATAGTATACCACGCTGGCCAAGTGCGGGTTGGTTGACTTCACACATATCTTTGAATTTCTTCTCAGACATGTGCAGGTTGCATCACGATGTTTTCCTTCATCGTAAGAACGTCGGATAAATGTACATATGTAAATCGAAAAATACATTGGTACATATTAAAAACATTTCTCTACAGTTTAATTATAATATTCAGTATTGTTACTACTAGGTAAATCGTAGATTACGGTTTGGTGTACGTCGTCCCTTCTTTTTATATTTTAGTCTTTGGCCACATTCTAATTACGTCAGTTTTGTCACCGTTGTCTTCATTACCAACATATTCGCTAATAAAAAGGCAAAACATAACACGATCATTGTTTATTCATTCAATATGTTTAGTTTCATAACGTGTCTTTATAACATCACGAGGTCGCGCCGGAAGTTAACCAATAAACCATTTGTACTGTGAAAGTATCAGTTATTTAAACATACTATTGTACTTTTATTATAACATAACCAAAACCATTCAATTATACTGACATCTCCGGATGTAGTCTTCTGTATACAGGATCACACTTCTTATTCTGATCTGTAACACTGCTCGCTTTTACATTTTACTAGTTACGTTAAGTTTAACAAGGTAGATAAGGTATTAATCCCGTTTTTGAGAACCAATTTACCTTTTTTAAGTTCGTAATTTTATTATCTGTCAGAGTCTCACACAGAGAAGTATTGAAGTGCAGAGCAATAGTTAATGTATGTTTTCTTGTGTTGCAGGCGATGCGGGGCTGGTGCGCGCGCTGGAGCGGCGGTGGGCGCGGACGGCTGCGCTGGTTGGCCGCGCTGCTGTGCTGGGTGGCGCTGGCTGCCGTGGCCCTGCCGCGGTTACAGGCACCGCCCTCGCCGCGCCCCGCGCCGCCAGCGCCCCCTGCCCGCCTGCTGCTGCAGTCCGAGGCGGCCGCCTCAACTCCTGCGCTTGTCACACAGGCGCTTCCCGCCACCGACACCAGGGTGCTTACCGAGGATGAGCTGCGCGCCGACGCCGAGCGCCGGCTGCCCTCACTCCCACTGGCTTACTGGCACAAGCACAAGGACGATAAGAACAAATACTATAAGAAGAAAGACTGCGCACCTTTCCCTTCGATATACGACTTAGAATTCCATAATACATACTGGCAGACGCTTCGGGCCAGCGAAGGCGTGTTCCACCTCTACGGCGCGTACATGGACGCGCGGAACACGTCCCGAATCGGGCCCGCGGTGCGTGTGCTCGCCGTGCACGACCGGATCAAGCCCACGCTCGCCACGCACTGCCAGCTCTGGTTCGAGGAGCGCGAGGCGCCCGTCGTCGTCCGTAACCTTGAATACAAGTACGTGTGGAATAGTAAGTGGGGCAACTACCGGGACCACGTGCTTCAGCCCTACTTGCTGGCCTGCGTGCTACCAGCAGAGGTGCGCCATTTGGTGCCGGCCTCCGTCTCCATTGTGGAGAACCCTTGTGACAGGGCGACCAACAACCTCCGCGTCCACTACGATCGGCCCGTGCCGCCAACGCCGAGAAAGGAATTCGCGGTGTGCGTCAAGGGCCTAGACTTCTTGCACGAGGACCTCTCCGTCCGCCTTGTCGAATGGATAGAGCTAATTCGCATCCTCGGAGCCGACAAGATATTCTTCTACGAGCTGCAGGTGCACCCGAATATAACCAAGGTGCTGGACTATTACCGAGCACAGGGCGCGGTAGAGGTGACACCGATCACGCTGCCGGGCGGACAGCCCAACCTGCCCGGCCTGCAGCACATGTACCTCAAGAAGAAGACGACGCACAAGCGCCAGATGGAATTGATTCCTTACAACGACTGCCTGTACCGCCACATGTACGAGTACCGGTGGCTGGCGCTGCTCGACATCGACGAGGTGATCGTACCGCTCGAGGACGAGGACTGGAGCGGGCTGATGCGGCGCGTGCTGCCGCTGGCCGTGCCCGCGGCTGGAAAGCCGGCGCGCTCCTCCTACCACGCCTCTAATCTGTACTTCCTGGACTCGCTGCGGCACGAACATGGCTGGGAGGAGGGCGTGCCGCGCTACATGCACATGTTGCAGCACGTGTACCGCACGCGCAACTTCACCAAGCCCGGCCAGTATGTGAAAGCGTTCCATGAAACGGAGCGCGTACTGGCGCTCCACAATCACTTCCCACTGGCGTGCCTCGGCGGCGCGTGCTCCTCGTATGCGCTGGAGACGAGGCACGCGCGGTTACAGCACTACCGCGCAGACTGTGTCACCGCACTTAGCAAGTCGTGTGGCGAGCTGCGCGCACAGCCGGTGCGCGACACTGCGCTGTGGCGCTGGCGCGGACCTCTTCAAGAGCGCGCCGAACGGGCGCTGCGAGATCTCGCCTTCCTGCCGCCGCACCGGTGACCCGCGCCCGCCGCGCTCTCGGGCGCACAACAACCTACGCTTAGTCTATAACTATTCAATGCTAGTATTAAACTTATTTTTATAGTTTTTCTGTGTTTTGTTTGTTCCCTTAAATGAAACTAGCATCCCTTTCTGTCTATGCTCTGGGAGAATGCACAGATTTAAGTCACTCTGGTGAAAAAGGACAAGCTTACTTGCATGTCAATATCATAAATTAATTAACACTCGAACAAATAAATCCGAGGGCTGTAGATAAATAAAATAAAACGGTAACGAAAAAGAAAGTATGTAATTAGAGAGAATGTGCATAATACACGATGATCGTATGGTCCGCTGCTTCAGACACGCAGAGAAAATTCAACGAATAAATAACGACTGTTCTAATTATTGCATTAGCTTAGAATGTAAAGTTTGGCAGTTAAAAATTAATTAATGTTTGTATGGCCATTGGGCCTGCATATTAGAAAAAGAAGCGACATTTTCGCATATTCGTTAAACGCAAAACAAACTTTTCTTAAACTTGAGCTTGGCAATTTAAAAAAAGCAAAGAAATAAAAGTTCTGACATTTGATATCTAAAGTTACAATGATACAACATAGATGGCGCTCGAAAAAAGTATTAAAATAGTAACAGCGACATCTCTCTGCTAGTAGAAAAACCACCTGACGTGGAAGAAAGAGTTTTGGAGAAAATGTCCAATAGATGGCGCAGGTAGGAAATAGACGACGCAGGAAGCTGATAGATGGCGTAGCATAATAATTCAACTAGAACTTTTGTAAAAATCGTTGAGATATTTTAATAATATTTGTGCGATCTGTAATATAAAAAAGCAAGATTAAATAGGTCGTGAAATAAAACTACAACTCCTTTTAAAAATTTAACTTTCTTTTCTACTTCAAAAAGGCTGATACAGGATTTTCTAATTTAGTTGCTGCGTTGAATATAACCTTTTTATTAGATTGTAAGCACAGATTATATGTGATGTGGGCATCTCTATGTTATTAGCACATCATATTATTATTAAGCATTGTGTAAATTCAATACAAGTACAACTTACAACTATCGTCCTTCACGCGGTCGCGCTTTGCTCATTTACTATGGCTGTCCAAAATTACTTTTTTATAACGCAATTTTATTTATGACACATTAATAAAATAATTTCACATATAATTTTAAAATGTACTAATTGATTAGACCTCTTTTTTGATGACGAAGAAAAAATAAAACTCAAATTAATTCAAAAATAAAATAGAAATAATTATTTAAGAATAAAAAAATCGAAACGATATCATGAAAAATGATTTTTCATACAGAAATTAACCCATAGGTCCTTAAAGTGGGTAGCATACCCACACTTCTTAAGTAAATAATAAAATAGCGTCAGCCCTAACCATGATCCTGTATATGGGAACAATAGTTGGTGGACATAAAGGGATCTTATTATGGTGTAGAGAACAGTCTTGCTGTAGTCACCACAGCTAGTGTACAGGTGAGTGACTCAATTAAAATACTGTCATAATCTTTGTTCAATCAGATATAGTAAATAAACGATTGCAGAGTAATCGGTTATACATAATTGAATATACATACATGCATTTATCCGACGTTCTTATATAACCTGCACATATCTAAGAAGAAATTCCAAGATATATGTGAAGTCAACCCGCACTGGGCCAGCGTTGACTATGGCCTAATCACACCTAACTTAGGGTAGGGTCCGAGCCCCTCAGTGGGGACGTATAGTATGCCGATTATGATGACATCATCGAAACATTTCCCACCTCATTTTATAAAAAGCTTGAAGATGCAATTAAACAGTTGGTAAACAGTACATCTCATATCGTACGACCTTTGTTAGATAGGTAAACAGTTTCATAGTGCACTCGTTTATCGCCTATCTCCGTTGCAGTTAGGGTTGTCACCTTTGTAGGTTCTTCGGTTTTGAACAGAGGATATTTGGGCACAGGTCGATGTCTTCGCGTCAAAGTGGATAGCGTTAAACAAGTGGAAATAAAATACGGAGGAAGTGTAGATATTGTTTTGTTTTCGTTGTCCGCCAAGGAGTCAATGACAGGGCTGTTTTAACCTTGTGAGGGACTCTACTGTAAAAATATGTGCTGACGCCTCTAGGGCCAGACCCCCGGGCGACCCTAAGGCAAAGCGGCCCTTGTAACTTTAGACGTCCGTGCTTGAGAAAGGGTTAATATGACTCTGGTTGTTGTTTCTTTTTCCTGACAGTTCAGGTCAAAGGAAAAGTTATCAAAAGTTAGCAGCCCTAGCTGCATGTTCTAACCATATCTCGATTAATTGTCGGCCTTGATCATTACCTACCACACGACAAAGTCCAGCGCGTGATCGAATAAACTTTGCTATACTAATTTCTTTTGTTTTTTCTAAAGATGTCGAATAGCTAGTCTAAGCCAAAGACAAATACAAATAGACATCCCTTACATGCAAACCCATCTAAAGCAATGGTGTAACACGATCGTTTTTATTTCTGTCTAGTCGTCTTTCTTCTTAATAAATTTAATACATACCTGCCAAAGGTATAGACTACTGCCGATGGATACAAAAACATATCGTCATCCCTTTCATTTCCAATGAATAAAATGGCATAGGTATACGATTGGCGTATTCGTTCGTGTTCTTTAAGTACGTTATAATAACTTTGTACTATGTGTTATAGTTTAAATATAATTTTTTAGTAGCTTAGTGACGCATAATAAGACATTGTTTAGGATTGTATTCGCAGTCGACACGGGTCAAGAGTCAGGCAGATAAAGTTGATTGCGCTCTGTGACTGTGACCTAGACAATGACCGATTCTGGTGAAATATTTTATTTGCAAAAAATATGATTTAAAACTAAAGATATTCAACATATGTGCCGATAGACAGGACATAGTACATTGTTATCTAAATACGGCGACTTGCAATTTCGGATGAGCATCCGTAAAATTCAACTTTAAGGCAACGCGTTTAGTGTTAACAATTGGACTGTTTAGTTAAATTGTATATATATATTAAACTGATATATAAACACGGCTAAACACTCACGTATATACGCGGCGGCCGCGTCCGCGAAGTAATACCAGTACCACTCATCCTGATGAAGGGCCCCCGATGGGCTCGAAACTAGTCGGTGCCGCCACCGGACGTATATACGTGAGTGCTTAGCCGTGTTTATATGTCAGTTTAGTATAATGTCTCACTAAAGTTTGAATAATGTATATGTATATATGCATATTAAAATTTGTTAAGGTCACAGTCAGGTCTGAAAATTCCGAGTGAAGCGTGCTTTCCTCCTCGCAAAATTAACTACATGGACCCTGCTAAGATCGTCGCTAATTACGAGCAGCTATAAAGTTTGACTCTTATAATACCACTAGGTAACAAAATAAGGTTGACACTCACGCAGGACAAATAGGATTTATTAGAAAACTGAAAGCAATTGAACTACAGAGGATTAAGAGCATATTTTAGAAAAACCTTACTTATGTCGGATCTATATTTATTTTTTATTTGAAACTCTTCATTTAAAGCCAACGGACGAGTTACATATATTAAAAGATTGCTTAAAGATATGAGGGAATACGAGTAGTACTAAAATTACATATTATAAAACTAGCTGCCGCCCGCCACTCCGTCCGCGCGGAATTAAAAATCTTCAACAAATTTTCTTGAATCCATGCAGTCGTTCATCCAGAACGATTGCATGGATCCTTCCATCCATCCAATTCGCATTTATAATATTAGTAAGATGTTAAGATTTAGACAGTTTAGAAATCTGGATTAAAAATAGATTCTTAGAAATGTTTGGATAGTTTTCATTAGATATCGTATTTGTCCTTATCATTGTAAGTTTTTAAACAATTAATAATTACAAATAAGTTAACTATGATTAAGCATCCATTAACTTGTTTATTATAAATGTCACAAACAAATATAATTTGTAATTAACTCTCGTTTGAAATTGTAAACATAATTTATACGAATAAACAAATAATTTATACTCGATATTATTATAAAGGGAATACTGAATATATGATGAAATTCGTTTAAATTTAATTTCAATCATTCTTTTACGGATTAAAGCAGCTTTATCCAAAATACTTTTAGACATTATTAGTTGGAATCATTTGACGTGAATGTCGCGCTTTCATTACAAAGTGTCAGAATGATTAGTGAGGGGACATAAACGTTGACATTTTAGTAAGGCTAGTGTTGCGCCACACCGGAACAGTGTCGGTTTTTCTTCCTAACTTCTATTAAAAATATGTTATAATAATAAACAAAAGAAAAAAGTTATAAAAAGCAAAGTACTATAATAACTTTTTAAAGTATCTTTAATGCCTTAAAGGTTTTCTTGTCTCAAATGGTATATACAGAATTGTAAACTTGACATTTATTTTATTTACTTATCCAGTGATTTTGAATTTAGTTTGAGGGTTGAGACATTTCGTTGCCAAAATAATAGTAGGTTTTTACTGGCTGATAAGGAAATCATAGACTATAAAAAATCTGAACCAAAAAAAATTTACATAAATCGTAATTTAAAAATTCAAAATAAAATACTAATAAAATTCGGAATCAGTCCCCTTCATCTAGAATCTTGAAGACAGATATTCTGTTATGTGATCCATCCGAGTTATTTAAACACAACATCGTCCAAAAGGCTTTAATAATTATAATTGCTAAACCAAATTTAGTATTCAACTCAAAATGTAACATAGCAATGATTTCACATAGACTACAAAGCACAACGCTCAGCCACCTGGTCATTAGTCGTCGATCCCGGAACTCGACAATGATAACAAATACATCGCTAATTGCTTGTAAACAGTTTGCAGGGCACACAGGGCGGAGGGCGTTGTTCAGGAAAGTTTCAACTAGCGCCCGATATCTCCCCCCCCACTACTCCCCCGTGACTCCTCGGCATATATAAACCAAACGCGCCCTACATCCGGCACACTCCTTCGGGTTCTCTCGTCTTGATCACATCTCCTGTGTTACAATGGCCAAGTTCATCGTTCTCTTCGTCGCCACCTTCGCTCTGGTAAGTTAATAATGTTACTAAACTTATATACAATTTAGATTTTTATGCTTTATTTGATTTTTTCCTATGAATACATCTTAACTTTTCAACTTATACTACCTAACAGATTAATTGATAGAACGCATACGCTAGTGAAGTTACTTAAAATCTGATGTCCAAGGTGATCTTTCTGACAGCAGTTCTCATCCCTGATAGCCTACCATCATGTTTGTTCATCTTGTAAAACTAAATCATGAATTCCAGGCGCATGCTGGTATGGTGCGCCGAGATGCACCCACGCCGCTGCAAGATCTGCAGAAACACGGCGAGGAGTTTCAGAAAGTATTCTCAGAACAGTTGAGCGCAATTGTCTCCTCCAAGAACACCCAAGAAGTCCAGAAGGCGTTCAAGGATGGCTCTGACTCTCTGCTCCAGCAAATGTCAGCTTTTACTGCCAGTCTGCAAGAGGCCGTAAGTTTGCATTTATTAAACAAAATTTACTATTATTAAAGTTGCAGGCTACTTATGGTCAGCTAACACAAACATGAAGCTACTAACAGCCACTATCAACTTTCAAGAAATCAAGAATATCACAAACGCATTTTAGGTACGACGCTACAGACGTTACGAATATTATAAATGCGAATGTTTAGATGAATGGATGTTTGTTTGAAGGTATCTTCGGAACGGCTTAACGGATTTTGAAGAAATTCGGCACACATGTAGATCATGAAGGAACACATAGGCTACTTATTAAGTTATTTTAATTCCGTGCGGACGTTGTCGCGGGCTACAGCTAGTTATACTATAAATATATAGGAATATTGCATTTGAACTTTACATAAAAATCATTTTTTTAACGATGAAAGAACGAGTGAAAAGAACATCATCCGACATTATCTCTATTAACAGAGCTATCAAATATCCGTCATGCGGTCAAGTCGGGTTAAGGTCATATTGCAAATATTCCGATTATTTCACTTCAAGGTTACAATGTATTATACAAATTGAATTGTTCATATAATTAAAACATATTAAATAAAAGCTCTAACAAGATTTTTCAATTAATAAAAAAATATATGTAACTTGAATTCAAGAGAAGCGTTTGACACCGCAAACATAATAATATTGTCAAGGATAGAGTTAACCACAAGAACATCTAACATATAACGACTTGATTTACTTAAATAGCTAAATCAAACATTGTAAAGCTTATTTCTTTGTAATCAGATATTGATAGGTTATTTTTATAGAAGGAGTACCCCAAGGTACATTGTTAGGTCCCAATATCAATGTTTAAAGACCATTTACTAATTTCCTGAAACTATCAACAGTGGACCTACATTGTTACAATGTCAAAGATATATTATTATTCTGTAAGAGGACATATTGCTACGTGATTTGCATACTTTGCAATTTATAATCCTAACATGTACTGACCAAATACGTAAAAAACAAAGACTATTGTAACGTATCATACTAATTGCTTTGGTATGTTAATTATGGATACTAAATAATTATTACAAGACTCACTAGTGCTGTGTGACAGATACAGTTAATGTTGTATTTTTTAATTGAAAACTTGACCAGAAATATTGACTTACCGAGGCGGAAAAAGGTTGTATTTCTTCGTCTACTTATAGAAGGTTAGAAGGTGTTTGCGGCCTTCCATGACTGATTTTCTATTTCCTAGTTAGGCTAAATTCACTACAGTTTTATGCGATTTTTATGTGTTTTTATGGTTATGCAATTTAAAACAATATTACTTAAAATCAAAGCCAAGCAATCGTGTATTGAGTGTAGTGAGGGGACGTAAGCGTTAATATTTTAACAGATCCAGTGATGGACCATACACTGGCACAGGGTCGGTTTTTGTCTTTACAGCAGTAAATATAATCAATAAGCCAATGACAATGTATTTGCACTTCCAGATTACCGACGCGAACGGCAAAGTGAAGGACGCTTTGGAGCAGGCTAAGACTAACTTGCAGAAGACTGCTGAGGACCTGCGTCGTGCTCACCCAGAGGTTGAGCAGCAGGCTGTCGCGCTTAAAGACAAGTTACAAGCCGCGGTGCAGAACACTGTACAGGTAGGATACAGTACTAGTATTATATAGTACCAGTATTAAAAAGTACAAGTATCACTAAGTATTAGTATCGCGAATTGCCAGTATTTCGTTACGCACAATACTAGTTAGTACAAAAAATATTGTGAGTCATATTTTTATTACTGTTCCTCTAAGAACCTATATTTTAAACTAAATATTTCGTTTATCAGGAGACACAGAAGTTAGCTAAGGAAGTGGCTACCAACATGGAGGAGACGAACGCGAAACTAGCGCCAAAGATCAAGGCGGCTTACGACGACTTCGTGAAACAGGCCGAGCAGGTGCAGAAGAATTTGCACGAAGCCGCCAACAAGCAGTAACCAATATCAACATTTAAATATATAATATAGTTGTAATCAATTCATTGCTGTTATTAATTACCTTGGACTTACCACTGACTATACGGACAGGCTATAAACCTTGGTATTTTGTGCCTATTTGATGTACGCCATTTTGGCGCAGACGGTTGCGGTTAGCAGCTGTGGTGGGGATCCGAACTAATAGAGAATCAGCTGTCAAGCGTTTCAACTCCCGTTTTAGTCGGAATAAAGCAAAGCTCTGTTCAGTTTGTACCTACGTAGGAGTCACCAGGCATCTCGCGTCGCTCATATTATACATCGCGATTAGCTGTGAACTAGTAATTTAGTTGTTGCGCCGAAAATCAATGATTGAAGTCATGTGACCTAAAGTTTTGTATCGGTTCAGAGTTGATTGTCACACGTCTAGTTCATGGCAGCGAGTCTTACGGTCTTATAACAATCTTATGGTTAAAAATTTAAAAATAAAACACAAATTTATGATAATGATTTATTGTTGAATAAGAAATACAATATTGTTGTATGTTTTAGAAATGAACAATTAACACTTAGGATTGTACATTGGCTATATTGTGACCTAATTTAATGAAGCCCATTTGTTTTATGACAAAACCAATCGTTAGTATGTGAAATATATAAAATCATTACAAGGTCAAGATTGACAGATGTCATTTTATCAAAGAAATGCCGGGAAAATTCCCGTCAGAATCTGTCGATTGACATAACCTTACTTTAAAACTAAAATTGAATGATTATAAATTCGAAACAAAAACTATTCTTCAAAGCAAATTTGCTTACGATAATTATTGCATAGAAAAATATTTAAAACTCGTGTAAATGTATATAAACTACATAACGACTGGTTATATAATACTAGCCACGAACTTCACGTGAAGTTACCAGTGTGAGAGAGACAGCAATATACGAACATGATAAGTGCGACAGAGACAACATATCTGCGTTTGTTCCCAACTTCAGATCGTAGACAATTCGTGGCGTGCATTATATACAAGCTATATTTTGTTATATATTCAACAGTTGTAAATTTAATATATGATAAAACTACACTCCATATATTTATTGAATTAGAAAAAAAAACTAGCATTTTTATATTTGAAACTTTTAATTCTTCTGTTTATGATAGAAAGTAGATGAACAAGCTAGAATATGTAGGAGTAACAATTGTATTTATAATGCCGTCTCTATTTTATCAAAGATAAAAATGACGCCATTATTACCACAGTGAGATTTCTACGGAATAACCTTTGTAATATGTAAATCTAAGTTAATCTGACGATGATGGGTGACGCAATTAATAGCCTAAGTGTTCAGCGTAAGTAAATATAAAGCGCAATAAAAAGCCCCAATAGTAAATCATGTATGTATTCAGACTGAAACGAAATGGTTACAAGAATGTCACCAACTTATCTTGAAATCCGACCATTTGTAATTTAACTAGGTAAATTATACACTTTAAATTGGAATGATAATTTCATATTAACTAGTGTGTTACAAGTTGCTGAATCTTTGCCTAGTTAAATTGCAAACGGTCTGTATTCATTATTGATCGGTGACATATTTGTCCAGTTATTTGTGAACCAGCACTTTGGACACATCTGGACATTTTGTTGATGATTTAGCGCCTTACTGACTGCCAGTCGCCATCAGGATCACGAGCTGGAATATTAAAACAAATTATTACATTTTATCATAAATGTGAATGTTTAGATGTATGGATGTTTGTTACATGTATGGATCTCGTTGAAATTTGGCATAGATGTAGGGTATCTGGAAGAACGCATAGATGTAGTGTATCTGGAAGAACACATAGACACATTAAGTTTTTTTTTTTATTCTGCGCGAACTGAGCAACGGGTAACAGCTAATTTATTGTAAATGTGAAAGTTTAAGATGGATGGATAGTTGTTAGAAGGTATCTCCAGAACGACTGTATTGATCTTGATAAAATTTGGCATACATAAAGAATAAACTAAACCAGTGGTTCCCAAACTTATTTTGTCTACTGCCCACTTTGAGAATAAATATTTTTTTAGCGCCCCCATATTTTCACATATTTAAAACCATTATAACTTCAAATTAAATTAATTAATTATTGTGACCTATATATGTATATTAACGGAGAATTCTAAAGGAAACTTTTACTATAACCCGCAACTTGAGACCTGCAGCGCCCACAAGGGGGCGTTATCGCCCACTTTGGGAAAGACTGGCATAGAAGAACATTTGGCCTATTTTTTTAGAACTTCAAAATTAAGTAAGGAATGTCATAGTTTGCGAGATTTGTCATAATAATGTAAAAATATAGTTTGTTGTGATGTAAATAACACAGATATCTCACTGCGAGATCCTGTCGCGTCTAACCAGACATTATCTACCTCTGAGGCCTACCATTATCTAGTTATTGGTTAACTGAAAATGGGATTTATTTCAGAGGCGTTAAAATCTTACTTGATTCGACTCTACAACAATATTGTCTCTATGATTCTCACCAAATTATATCTAAGATAATCTATGGATGTTTTGGTAGTGAAAATTGTTTACTTACGTTTCTCGTCACGACGTGGTGGCGGCGGGCGACGGTCGCGGTCTTCTCTACGCGGCCCCTCACTGTATACATAATATATGTTACACACAAACAGACAGGGAGATAAAACATCATAAGAAAGGAATTATTTGACGGCACGTCTATGATTTCATTAAATAATTCTTTAGAAATATGCCACGTTGAAGAAAATAGTTCAAACGTTTTACAAATTATAAATGTATGGATGGACCGATTCATCTGTATAAATTCTGGTATAGATGCAGAACACTGTCTGGAAAAACACATACAAGAATTGTTTAAATTCCAAGTAGACGAAATAGCGAGCACAAGCTGGTTGTTTCATAAATTTGAAACTCACCGATCATCTCTCCTAGGACCATCGCGGTCATCCCTTCTAGGACCATCGCGGTCGTCTCTCCTGGGACCATCACGGTCATCTCTCCTAGGACCATCACGATCATCTCTTCTCGGCGGGTAGCGTTCACGATCTCTGGGACCATCGCGGTCTCTAGGTCCATCGCGATCTCTCGGTCCGTCACGGTCTCTCGGTCCGTCACGATCTCTTGGCCCGTCACGATCTCTTGGCCCGTCTCTGTCTCTTGGACCGTCACGATAACGGTCATCACGCGGTGGTCCGTCTTTACTACGCCATGTTGATGAACGTTCCTGTAACAGCGTAGTTATTAAATTAGCTGAAAAAATATATTTGCTACTTTTATTGTTAGTTGTAATACATATTTGATGCAGACAATATAAAAGATAGGTTTAAAGATTGCTTGCACGAAACCTTATTTATCGTCATCATCATTTTTCAGTATTTTTGAGAGACTATATTTTGTGGATTACAAAGTCTCTATAGTTCTGATTCTATGGTAGATTGTCTATGGGAGGTTAAACTTACAGTGGGTGCTGGCGGCGGGTCGGCAGGTCCTCTGCGCCAGCTGCCGGTCTCGGGTCCACTGGATCGTCCGCCGTAGCCTACACGTGGCCTGTAATATAAACATTCTCACTTATATTACATAGAAAATAGTACCAAACTTACATCCGATATAATCAATATAAACATGTTAGTCCATAGGATATTATTGTAGCCCGAATGACAATGGGTCAAATTCGGGAAACGTCAGACAGCCGATTTTGACTAGTCATATGACTAGACGGTCGTGTTTTTGGGTTTTTTTAGTAACCAATAGGGTTATGTAGTTCCTGCACTAGTAGATGTGACTGTATACCTTTCATCTCTTGCTGGAGGACGGTCTTCTTTAGGCGGAGGGCCACGTTCGTCACGTAATGGCCGACGTTCAGGCGACCGTGGTCGTTCATCACGCGGACCCATACTGCGGCTTGGTGGTAAAGCTGTAAAATTATATTTATTATAGCGCCGGTGATTTAATTTAACACGTTAGGAACTAAAATATGGACAAACTCGTCAACGCATTAATGACGAAAAAAAGTGTGGCTAGATCTTGTTACACTTTTTTTTTTAACATAATAACTTATATAAGTTTTTTTTATAGAACTCAGGGAGAAAGTAATGCCTTTCAGTGGGTCAGTTTATCTGACCTCGGTTGTTCACTTAAGAACAAGGTACTATAATGTGAACTTTGACTTTTTATACATTGTACCACGTCACTGACCTGGTCTGCGACTGTCGTCGCGTCGCCAGCTGCTGCCGGTGGTCGCCTTGGGTTCATCCAACTTGCGAGGTTCGGCTTCTTTTGGTCGCGGTCTTTCAGCTTCCCTGGAAAATGGACAGAATTAGTGATTTACCATATTAAATTTTAATCTTATATTGGTCTTTCTAAAAAAACGAAAGGATTTGATATCTTAACAAAATGACAATCACTAAGAAATAACTATAAGACTAGTTAGTTTTATTTATAGTTATTTCTTACTTTTTTTAGTAACAAAAAACTTAGTGTAGATATTCCCGACTAAGAAACTTACTTTTCGTCTTTGAGTGGAGGGCGTTCTTCTCGTCGCTCCGAGGATCGTGGTCGGTCGTCGCGACGGGCTGTGTACAAAATTTACTTATTATAAATTTGTCCATGCCTCTTTTAACTACTTCTAGAATAACATTAACTATTTTACTGTATACTTCTAGCGTCACATAACTGTGAGTCGAGTATCCACTTGCAGAATTTTGTATAACCTTAGAATTCGATTGAAAATCCTAGTGATATATCTGTCTTTTCAGAGGATGAAAGAGATGGCAATATATCTTGGGTATTGGGCAGTAGTGTTCATACCTCCAGGTGCTGCAGGACCTCCGCTGCCGCCGCGCCAGGTGTCGTCTGCACGGCGCCAGCTGGAGCTGGAAGATTTTTGTTCCTCCAGCTTGCGCGCCGCCGCCGCCTCCTGCGCACGCGCACGCGCCAACATCTCCTGGTGCTCCCTGACACAAACCATTATGTATATTAATGATTGTTCATTTTAATGAAAGACAACTTATTAAAAAAAAAACACATTATATTCTAACTAGCATTCAGTGTCTTTAGGGTGAGCTTTTGTGTACATTTAATATCAGAAATGTAGACAAAACCGACTGACTAATTCAATGACCATAACTCTAAATGCACTTTATAGTACAACAAAGAGAATGCGATTATTGCTAACGTTTAGAAAACAGCTCCACTCAATTGAGAAGATTACACTAATAGCCTCTCTTAGTAACTAATTAACGAATCTGTACTCACTTCTCCTTCCTCTCGCGCAGCGCGATCAGCTCCTCCTGGTGGCGACGCTCGCGTTCCTCCTTCTCTCGCTTCTCCTCCTCCTCCTTCAGCCGGCGCGCCTCCTCCGCAGCGCGTTCCTCTGCACGTTGCTTCTCAGCCAACCACTGACACAGACACATTACTGTATAAATGTTTTCACATATCTTAGCGGCTCAGAACTCTGTTCTAGTCTAGTTACGCAGAACACAATTTTGTGGATGCGAGTGAAGGGCATTCACAGATGTCCGTGTGCCGCCTAGATATTTGAAACTATTAATAACAATCTAGATATGTCCCTGTACATTTTATATCCGTGATGATTAATCCTAACAAAATTTATGCTGAAGGGGATAAGTTATACCAAGTCAGAGTTACAACTGACTGGCGATTGACTTCCCAACCCATTTTTCTCTCAATTTGTAAGTTATGACGTCACAACGTCCGTATAGATTCAAAATACGTTGCAAAATGTACCTCCTGTCTTCGTTTCTCAATGCGCTGAGCTTTACGCTGCGCCAGCCTCGCCTCGCGCTCAGATGTCAGCCGCTGCTGGAAGTCAGCTAAGCACTTGAGGTGAGCAGCGCCGCGCTCACTGCGCAGTCGCGCTGTGAACTGCTCGCGGTGCGCAGCCATACGTGACAGGCGGCTCGCAGTCGCCACGTCACGAGAACGCGCCTCTGTTACAAATATTATATTCATATACTTCGATCTTAACCACTGATAGACTGATAATAATGTCAATACAAAAAACCATGTTTTTTTCTCACTAAACGTTGATTTTTGCTTTAGTTTGATCGAATTCGTCAACTTAGCCGTCACCGTCTTCAACAGGCCTAACCCTACTTTACATCTCCAGAACGGCTGAACGGGTTTCAATGAAATTTGACATACATATAGAACATAGTCTGGAAGAACAAATAACCTACTTTATAAGCTTTTTTGTAAGACGCGGGCAGTATGTAACAGGGAGTTTGCACTGTAGACATTCGTAAAGAACTTATCGTTTCTGAAAAATTGTAGGTAAAAATATGTTTTGTCTAGTCTATCATGAGTAGCTCACCAATAAGTTGTTGTATGCGCTCCTTTTCCTGTTGTTCCCAGAACGCCTTGTCCTGTACCTGCTTCTCTTCCAAACTCTTCTGCAACAGCGGGATCTCCTCCAAGCGCTTAGCTCGCTCGAAATAGTCCACCTGTATCATTGAGTTATTAAAATTAGTTTAGTAAACAAAAAGATATTTTATATCCGACTCCAAGGATCAAAAACAACTATCTTACTTATATTATAAATGCGAATGTTTAGATGGATGGATGTTTGTTTGAAGGTATTTAGAGAACGGCTGGATGGATCTTGCCGAAATTTGACATAGATGTAGACTACAGTCTGGAAGGACACATAGGCTACTTATTAAGTTTTTTTTCAATCCACACGGACGGAGACGCGGGCGACAGCTAGTTCTACTATACGAATGTATTTTAATTATAATATATCAATTAATTTATTAATCAATATTTATTATTGTAAATAAGACAATATAATAATATCGTACCTTCTTCTCTTGCGACTTAAGTCGCGCTTGCAGCTCTCGGCGTTCTTTCATCAGCTCCTCAGCCTCGCGCTTAGATATAGCATCCGCGTCCATTTTCTTCAAATCCTATAACCGGTAAGAATAAGTTAGTAAAAAAAACATACGTCTTCTAAAATTAGTTAAAAAAAATATTTTGCATCATTTATACCTACCGTGACATACGAACCGTTAGTTTCTGACATTATCTTTGACAAAACAGAGATATCAATATGTTTTGTACGGTGGTTTTGGTCTCAGAAACCTACGGCGACAGTAAATGATATATATAATACCTCTTCATCGAGTTTCTGCAGTACTTTCTTGCCGTGCATAGTCTGTGAGATGTGAGCAATTCTCTCGCGTAGATGTCGCTCGCGCATGGCGGCCATCTCGGAGGCGTGACGTCGCTTCTCCCGCTCCTCGCGCTCCGCTTCCAGCCGACGCGCCTCTGCAGCCGCCGCCAACCGCTGCTGTTCCTCTTGACGACTGCGTTTACACGCAAAATTGAAATTATTGTATTTATTCTATCTATTTAAATTATAACCATCGCACACCATCTTTCGACCGCATCATCACTTTTCAACAGGTGGGAAGGTGGACAAGTGCTAGCTTTTTCAACATAAAAACTAATTCATGCTGTAATAATTATCATCATCAAATTATTCTCATATAAAACATAGAATAGTGTATTTTAGTGATCCAATCTCATCTAAAGCTACAAATAATTTGTTTATTCAATAAATCTATGCAATTTAAAGAAATTGATTTAAATAAGAGCGCCATCTATCAGACACAATACTAAACTAACCGTAGCTCTTCCTCCTCGCGCACGGTGTTCAGGCGTTCGATGTACTCCTTTCTCTCCTCTATAATCTTATGCCGCTGCAATACTCTGTGGTGTTCAGCATGTTTGTTCTCGTGGTAGTGCTGCACCATGTGCGCGCGGTCACGCTCACGTTCCGCACGACGACGCTCCGGGAACAGTTCATGTACTGCCCGGGATAGTACTTCAGCTGCACGTACTAGTTGTTCACGCATCTAGATAACATCTACAATTAGTGTTTGATTCATAAAATGGAGAAGTTGAGTGTTTACAAGTAAAAGAAGACATGTATTAACAGATCAGTATAAAGAGTCATCTTCGTCGTCAGCTAATTATCAAGCTTATCCGATTTTAGGGATAACTAAGCCATATTCAAACTGCGAGTTAGTTTACATATGTTTACATGATGTTTTCCTTCACCATAAGTACGTCGGATAAACGAACAAATTAAAAACACTTTGGTGTATGACCTGGACGTTTCAGATTATGGTCCGGTCCAGTCAAGGGAATACCAACTGCACCACAGACGTTTTAGTAAAATTTTGAAATTAGTATCTTGTCTGATTTGATACCTGTTCAGCAGGCGTTGCCTGCAGTATGGCACCACCGCACGCCTCATCCGCAGCTGAGCACCACTCACCGCCGCCAGACTCCACACCAAAGTGCACGCATCTACACAACACAGTTAATTTTATTACAATATACGAAAGAAAAACTAACTAAGGAGCCATCGAGAAATGTACACTGTTAATTAGCCCACGATTCTGTCCGCGGGGGATAAATAGATAGCCGAATCTCAGACCTACTGAATATGCATATAAAATTTATTGAAAATCGGTCAAGCCGTTTCGGAGGAGTATAGTAAAGAACATTGTGACTCGAGAATTCTATATACTTAGGGCTCTAACAAAAAAGTAATGAGATTGAATGTGGATGGCTACAAAGGTAGAGGAAGACCAAAAAAAAATGGAAAGACTGTGTGAAAAGAGGACATGCGTAGAAAGGGGGCAGATTCAGGTACGACGGCAGATACATATGTATGGATGAGTACATACTCTGCCGACCCTCTATAGGGATAAGGGGAGGTTGATGATGACTTAGGGCTCTAACTTATAGAGATCAGTCTTTCACAATATTAAAAATATTATCCAATTGTTTCTAATTAAACTTAGACACTGTTACTTACTGTTTAGCATGATCGATGCGTATCTGCATATCATTATGTCTCACGCAGTCTACCAGCAGACGCTCCAGATGGAACAGGTCAGTGGTGTGAGCCAGCTCCAGCAGGCGCGCGAACTGCACACAAGAGTAGCACTGTGCCACTTGCCGCACCAGCCGCACCAATGCCACGTCAGTTAACGCCACCGTGTACTGCGCCAGAGACGAGTCTGCGGAAATAATATATTATTAGGTATTTTGAAACTATTGAAAAGTGGTAGACGCCAGCCACAACATCTTGCACAATGGTGCCTCAAGCGGAAGCAATTTTAGCCCTCTTTCCCTTCCCAAACTATTCTTATAAAGAAAGGATGAGAAAGGGAAGTTCATTTTATTGATGAAGGAAGGGTCGCATAGGAAGAGGCAAAATTGACTTTCAGTGCACATCCTCCTCCGTTGATAAAAGGTACACAATGTATCTGCAAGTATGGATGTCTATAGGCAGCAGTCACTTCGCTATTTTAGCGTATTCATATTGTTACCTACCATAGGATATAAAATAACTACTTAATCAGGTTTATTGGGCGTTTTCGTTGAGTCGATTGACCCGATTGGTTCTGTGGGTTTAATCGACTCAATGGGTATTATTTTCAGACTTAGCTAAGATAAATATGAAAAGTTTCTCACACTCACTAGGCTCCTCTTGCAAATGCTTGACAACAGTCTGCACGTTGGCGCAGATGGTGAGCGGATCAAATTCCACCTCCAACCAGCTGTACAGCTGCTGCAGCTGCGGTGATGCCAAGTTCACAACATTCAGACGGATCACATCTAAAATGAAAACAATGTTATTTGTTGCTGAAAGGTTTTATACATTTAAAGATATACATACTGACAGATAGATTAGAAGTCAAAAGAAATAGTCATATGCAGTAAAAACTAGATAAGCAACAGTCCAAGAGACCGAGATATATTTCTCGCTTATGCACATCTTCCTTTTATAATTGATTTACAATTAACCACCATAATGTTACATCAGAATTTTATGCATGCATTATTAAGTTTAAGAATAAATTTAATAAAAAGAGTTTATATACTTCTTTTCATACAATTATTTATTATTAAAAGTAATGTGCAAGTATAAATAACACTAATAGTCAAATAAAGAACTATCAGTCGCGTCTAACTCACATATTACTCTACCTCTGATGACTACCACTTATTGACAATAAGTCACAAATGGGATTGATTTCAGAGGAACAAATTGCATTCAAAGACATATTCAACATATAGAACAAAATTGAATACAATACTATTCTATCATTCCGCAATGTGAATGCCTTACCTTTCAACAAGCTGGCTCGAGTGGGTGGTTGTGCCAAACCTAACAGGACGGCTAATCTCTGAGCCTTTTCCACCGGACTCTTGTCAGTTTCAACAAACCGGTCAAACTCGGGATGCAGCGATGGTAGAGGTACTGATAGAACTGCTACTAAGACACGGCAAGCCATCCTATATAGGAAAATTATAAATAATATTAAGTTACTTTACTTAAAAACAAAAATAATCTTATCATATAGCTTATGTTACTAACAAATAATATATCGTATATTCGAGGATTTATTGACATTGGTTCAGAATTCTTCCTGAACTAATTCATTATAAACATAGAAATCTGACTTTTTTTTAATCTTCATATATATAATTCTTCTGTGCGTGTGTATGTCACTGAACTTCTCACAAACGACTGGACCGATTTTGATGAAATTTTTTGTGTGTGTTCAAGGGGATCTGGGAATGGTTTAGATTCACAATTTTGTCCGCTGAACAATGTTTTTTTAATTAATTTTTAATATATTAGTAGTAGTCGGGTCCGCTAGTAGTAGTATAAATAATTAACTTGCTGCATTACTTTGTTAGCATAAAAATTACTTGATAAATGAAAAACTTTTATCTGTGCAGACTTTTTTAACGGAAACAATAAAGATAAATTGCTTCGTGTATTAAGTCTACATTAATGCTTTACCTCCGAGGCCTACCACTTGTTACCATAACGGCTACAAGTGGGATTTATTTCAGAGGCATATTAAAATTACATTGTAAAATACAAGTTAAACTAAGAAGCTGGAATACATTATTTAACCATTAACTTATCTTTTTTAGATAAAAATAGATATGAAAAAAGACATGAATCTAATTATTACATCATTCTTTAAACATGCAATAAAAAAAAAACAAGCCATATTATGGAAAAATAGATGAGACTATGCCATTATGATCTCTTGTGTCGGAGGCCAAGACCCACTTTGGGTCGATGCACCAGCGGAGTAAGTAAGTATGCCATTGTAACATAAAAAACTTACTTCTGCAATTCCTCCTGGGTGATATTCTTCTTCATCTCCCTAGAGAGCTGGAACAGCTTGAGGAGTGCAGCAGCATGGAACAGGCAATGGCCAGCTTTCCAGAAGACCAGCGCCAGTTTACCATAGTAGTTGGCCATGGTCTTTGCAACCGGTGTCTTCTTGGACATGTTCATTAAGTTATGGATGTCCTCTATTGCTTTGTAGGCTTCCTGTATGTTGATTTATGAAATATGTCAATAAAACATTTAAAAAAAACTAGTTGTATGACAGTAATCTTACTAATATTATAAATGCGAATGTTTAGATGAATGGATAAATGTTTGTTTCAAGGTAACTCTGGAACAGCTTAACGGAACATGATGAAATTTGGCACAGATGTATGCTACTCATTAGGTTTTTATTTAATTACGGGCGAACGGAGTCGCGGGCGAAAGCTAGTACAAAATAAATAAGGAAATAAGAGTACCATTAGTAAGAAAACTGACCTGCCACAACTCCATCTGTATAGCACTGTCAAGTTGGAACAACCTGGTCTCCAAGTTGAGCTGCTGGGTCTCGGGCTTGGTGATGCTGACATTGCCAGTTTGTACCTGTTGGAAAATTAATAAAAATACTCTTTTAAACTATAATTTGAAATAAAACATACGTTAGTTAAAGTAATCTATCTAAACCTTTAATCTTAGATAAGATTAGTTGTGTAACCATTGATTAAAGATTAATTCAACATTTTACCATGGGTTTCTGATACCAAAATTTCTATATAAAACATATGATGATCCCTGTCATTGTCTTCAACAAAACAGAGGTAACAATGTGTTTTTGGTCTCAGAAACCTACATGTATTAACCTTATTAGAGCTAAAATAATGTGTCTTGGTGTAAGTACTATATGTTTGGATAAGAGTAAATTATATTACATGTGCATCCCTTAAACACTATGCACTTGCACGAGTGATGCAATTATTTCAAAAATTTATAAACATTTTTAGATGGTATTTGATATATTTCTACTTACTGTTGGCTTACAAATGTCTTCGAGATGCTTCCTCAGCTTATCACACAGTTTCCTGAACTCTGTCTTCCTAGAGTACTTGAGACAGAACTGGAATGCCATCCGGGCAATGTCATGGTAAAGAGTTTCTACATGTGCATTGGTACGGAGCAGCTCTAGACATTGGCAGTAGGATTCCCATAGGAATTTCACCTGGAATAAATAAACCCGTTAAAGGAAACACTGAAAGGTTAAAAGAAATTTTAACATGTTCAGTGACTTGTTTTACAAAATTTTTAAACTTTCATCTGTTATTCTTGCTTTTTGGGTAAAATAAATATTAGTAAATTAAAAAAATAATCATACATAATTTTGCTTCATAGCTTAATTGTAATGGGCAAATCAAATAATAGTTTATTAGGAAGTATCCTTGGTAAAACCAAATAATAGTAATAAAAAATAAAGTAATTCTTTTCTATCTCTTACCCATGGTGTAAGTATAGTTCTATCAGAGCGATCCTGTGCATCTTCTCCGGAGACTGCACTTAATAAGATACTCTCTGGTGTAGCTAAGTTGTCAAGATCATCAGTATCAATGACAGCCTGTGTGGATTGAGCCCTGGCTGCCTCTGTCCGTTCCTCGGCCATGCGCAAGTATCCTCTAAAATTGGTAAACATTAATATCACTTCATGTGTCACCAGCACATTTTTTAGTAAATAAAAGCTTAAATTTAGTGATTTTCAATATAGTTTTTCGAAGCAGAGATAAACATGATCCTGAATTTATTAAAGACTTGAATAATATTCTGATTGTTGCACCATTGTTATTGGTCAATAAACATAAGAATTCAATAAAACAAACCTTATTACTTGCTCCAGCGACCCTACGTTGACGGATTGGAACATATTCCTGTACTGGAACAAGCCTTCTTTAGCAATATGAGACTTCCTCAGGTCTACGCATAGTTCCAAGTATTTGAACATAATCGGCTCCAGGACCGATTCGGACCAGTTGTATGCCCATTTTTTGTTCCGGAACACTTCCTGAAGAGTGTCCAAGGCCCTGGCTGGCTTCTCCAGTTCCATGAACTCTATAGGAGAAACCCAACATGTTCTTTGGTTATGTCGTGATACTTATGTGATTTGTGATGTAACGCCCAAAAGTTAAGAATTTTAAACAAAACTTAACAGTGATACTATGGGAATACCGCAAATATGTCCAAAAGGTACAAAAAGTTAACAATAAATCCAAGCTGAACATGCAACGTGGTATGATTGCAAGAAATATGTACAAACCATTGGCCCGTTTGAGGGCATTTTCCGGTCGTTGACCGTATCTCGCCATCATTTAGACTGCTTTCTGATCACTTCATAAATAAAAAATTATTTATCCAAATATCGGCAGTGAAGAATTTATTGAAAAAATTCGTCACCACCGCTCTCCGCTCTGACAAGCGACCACGAATCAAAATGGCGGATGGACGGAGGCGCCGTGCTAGCGCAATGTGGTCGACCTTCACATAAGGTATCAATAAGGTATGAAATGTTTCAACAAATTATTAACTCAATCTTCTTAATTTAATTTATTAAATGATATAAAATGTAATTGAAATATTAATGAATAATTTATTAAAAAAAAGTTCTGTTATTTAGAAAATTAACTTGTCATGTCAGTGTGACTGCTTGAACTGAAATGTCATCATCATTGTCAAAAATCAAACAAATTGTTGCGTCAATGTCACATTATTTTAATTAACAATTCAATTTCAATTATTTTGGTCAAAGTTATTATAACCTACTAAAATGAGAGTATTTATGAAGCTATTTCTTTTTAGACGACCGTATACAGTTTGCTACATAACAAAAGATGTTTTCATGTTACCGGATGAACTGTTTTACAAGGAAATTGGTCTAAATATCGGCGATTGTTATGATGATATAGGAACACTAACATTACGAAGAACAAAGAGGGTGAAATTTACTATCAATGCTTTATTCTTACAACCATTTTTAAAAGAATGTGTAATTTTTGATGCATACAGATATAATGTAATAAAGAATGTTTACCAGAAAAGTCATAATCAACTGAATGAACCAATATTTTTAAAACTTATTTTGGAACCGCCGGATCAAGAAATAATTGATTATGAATGGTAAGTACATTGCTTGTAAAGATTCCCACATGTATCATTTGCTAATATTACATCTATCATTTAATAATTTTTTAAACTTGTAAACAAGCAATCAGTTACATTGAAATTCCACCGCTGTAGGACTTGTATAAAATATTTTGTGTCTTAGTCTTTTCAAAGAGAAAGAGTGGAAAGATACTAAGATTCTATGCATTTGTTTCCAGGAACGACAGAATGAACTATTTGATATGGACTAGAGTTGAAATAGAAAATGCCTTTTCTTGGCTGTCAACGCTTGGAGGTGCCTATTCAGCATTGGGGGATTATTTTGATCATTGTGTAAGTTAAAAATCACTCTTATTATAATATATTACATAGTTATTATAATTCCCAAAATTACACTACTAACAGTGGTAGAGCCCGCTTCTTCGCACGAATTGGCCTGGCTCGCCCGCTGAAATACCACAACCACACAGATAACAGGCATGAAGTGTAAGCAATTCTGCGTTACGGATGGGTGTGCGTCCTGGAGGCCTAGTTTAGTCATCTTTTCCATGCCACCCTTTTTCTTATAAGGAAAGGATGAGAAGTGTAAGTGGACTTTCCGGATGAGAGGATGCATGGAAAGGGAAAATATTTTCTTTCTGTGCATCCTCTTCTCATTCGATTAAAGGTAGGCAGCGCATATGCAGTTGCGTATGTCTATTGGCAACGGTCACTTCGCCATTTCAACGATTTCAGGTGGCTCGCTCGTTTGCCACCTGATGATATATAAAAAAAAATTAGTATTTTTGAAAAACGATAGGTCCCATTTAGTTTAGTAACTATATAGACCTAAATAAAAAGATGTAAATTGTTAGTGACTTTTTATCTGTTGTACTAAACCAAAATATTATAATTTTTTAGGCAGAAGAAGCTGGAAGAATATCATTAAGGCAATACAAACTTTCAAGACTGTTGGGCGATGATGGACTTGCAGCACGAAGCAAATTGTATTCCTCAATTGCATATGCTCAGAGAGGAAAGTTGAAACTTGCAAGATATATAGTCAGAGATATAGCTGCATTTGCGAGACAGACTCATGATAGAAGACTAAACCGTATGTGCCAAGGTGTTTGGGCAAAGCTAAAATATTTGCGGACATTAAAATCATCGAAGGTGAAAGAGGAATGTAATAAACCGGTTGTAAATATGGTTGGAAGAGGTGATGAAAAATTTGAAATGACTAAAATGGTGTGTGTAAAGTGATTTTTGATTGTTTTATACTGTATAGGTAAAAAAATATTTAAGTTAATGTGCAATAAAAATATTAAAAAATTGATTAAATTTAATATATATTTATTTTTGAGTTGTGTAACTAATAAATACATTACATTCAAAATCATACCTAATATAAAGTGAAGCCTTGGTATATTCTCAGACCAAATAAGTTGTTTAGGGTCCAAAAAGTAAATATAAAATTAGCGAAACATATTACTATATATCATAAGACAGCATAAAAGAATAAGGATATCTATCTAATATAAAAATCTGGATGTCCGAGCTTTGCTCGGTATTTTTTTTTAAATTGTGTTTTTTGGAAATTATAATTAAGTACGAATGACTACTAAAATGATGAAATATGAATAATATATTTCGATCTTACCGATAGAAAAAGTTAAGTTTAAGTTGATTATGGATAAAACACGAATAAAATGACATTTTCTAAAAATGATTCCTAGCTAGATAGATTTATCGCCTCCGAAACCCCCTATGTACTAAATTTTATGAAAATCGTTGGAGCCGATTCCGAGATTCCAATTATATATTATACAAGAATTGCTCATTTAAAGATATAAATGTTATTTGGATGTTTATTAGAAAAAAGGCTGCATGGATTTGGTTGATTGGTATAGATGTAGAACAAAGTCTGGAAGAAAACATAGGCTACCAATTATGTTTTTTTTATTCCGTACAGATGGAGTTGAGGGCGACAGCTGGTACAAAATAAAATAATGTAAACAATGCATATCGTGGTATTCATTTTATTACAGTGCGTTTCCACTGCTGTAGCAAGTGTACTAAAACATATTCTCTTGATAAAATATTGTTGTTTTATACATGTTTGTACAGTGGAAACTCAGTTATAACAATCTAAGAGGTTTGAATAATTATTGCTCACAAAATAACATATTGGTAACTATTTATGAACACAATTGACTAAAATAAGCACCAGTGTGTACTTTCACAAAAAATTGCATCAATTTTGTTGGAAAATATATGTATGAATGTATGGATGTATGTTTGTATGTAAACATATTTTGTGATTTCACTAAAAACTTTAAATCTTATATAAAAAAAAAATGTCAAATTCAAGTTTAAATTGTCTTTTTCAGAAGCTCCAAAGTTAATATGTAGTTATCATCCAAAAACATTTTTTTTTAAAATAATTATGAAAATCAATATTTGGTCTTCTTCAAATTCATCTGCAGATCCAAAGGCATCCTCATCTCTGTCTTGGAAACATACATAACTATATCATTTCGTTATAAATAATTCATATTTCTAAATTTAAATAATAAATATAAAAAGTTCTAAAAAATTGAGATTTCCTAAAAAAAAATTGCAAATTGGCAGCTTCTGAATACATTTTCCAACAATGAATTTACTCCTTGCAACACACGGGACAGGCGAGGGTGCCCATCGGGTCCCACGCTGGCAACACCTTCGCTTCTTGTTTAAACACTTCCAATACAGATTCTGGTACGAACTTCTTATCTACAACAACCTGAAAAAATCAACAGCTACTTAGAATTCTATACAAAAAAATCTTTACTTTATCATAGAAAAGACTTCTATCAAATTTCGATCAAAAAATTCAAAAAGCAGTAAAAAAACGGAATACATTTTTATCTTTATATATATATAATTCTTCTGTGCGTGTGTATGTCACTGAACTTCTCTCAAACGACTGGACCGATTTTGATGAAATTTTTTGTGTGTGTTCAAGGGGATCTGGGAATGGTTTAGATTCACAATTTTCATCAAATATTAACTTCATATTAATTTATTCAAATAAAAGACGTGTAGACAGGACAACGTCTTTCGGGTCCGCTAGTACATGTATATATTTTGAAAAAATCGCTATAACGACATGACTAAGAATATGACAGATGACTCACTTGACGTTAGCGCCATCTATTTGTAGCTTTCAGTTTTTCTCTCCCTTTTAATAGTAATGAATAAACTTTGTTTTTTTTTTACATCAATTTAATTCATCCGGTTCAAAGTACACAAGAATTTAACTCACCTCAAAAACAAACTCCTTGAACCATGGCGTAGTGAGTAGCAGATAACCTTTGTCATATTCCTTGTCACCGTAAGAATTTTCCACTCTGAACTTCAAAGGATTGCCTTGCTCCTAGATATAACACAATTATTTACTTTAAATGTGAAGTAAATTTCAACTAGATGCTGTTTTTAACTATTATTTAATATTCCATGTGTTTCCCGTTCGGCCGATCGACCTACCAAACCATCGGTCCAATGGGAAAAATTCCATTAGGCCAATTAAGACCAAAGAATAAAAAAAATCAATATTCCCATTGTCCCGCTTCATCGATAGGCCGATCGGTCCAACGGGAAAAAATATTTTTTTTAAATTATTATCGCAGAGAAAAACACTTATATACTGAAATATTTTTAAATTCAAGACACATACAGGTCGAGTTAATAAAATAATTAAATACGTACATCAGTTCCCACCGCAGTGAATACCATGGCATGTGTCATACAAGAATCTCCATACATGAGCCGGTCAGCTTTATTAAGACCAACTTGAACTTCTGTGTTGAACACCAGCTTGAAGTCTTGACTAAAAAAAACATTAACATTTTGAAGAAAACGCTTAATTATGGAAGCTAAAAAATACATTTGGTCCTTCAAGCCGGATTTTTTTTGTCAGTTTTTTGAGCTTAGCTTTACTTAGCAATGGATCGTAGATAACTTGAGGGATAATAAATAAGGGAATACTAACGCATCCAAGTCTTCTAGTCCGTTCTTACGTTCAAATCTCTTGGAGACCTCGCATCCGAACCACACCGCCTCTCCACCTTGTATGCTGTCTTTGACCACCCTGTAACATGCACATAAGCTATAGATTTTTTAAATAACGTAACGTAATATATAATAACGAGCGTCGGTTGCTCAGGTTAAACATTTGACTTGCAATCTGCAGGTGCTGGGTTCGAATCCCGCCATGTACCAATGTGTTTTTCGATTTCAGATTTCCATATGTACATCGTGATGCAACCTGCACATATCTGAGAAGAAATTCAAAGATGTTTGTGAAGTCAACCAACCCGCACTTGGCCAGCGTGGTTGACTATGGCCTAATCACCCTTAACTTAGGGTAAGCTCCGAGCCCCTCGGTGGGGACGTATATAAATAACATATTTTTTTATAGTAACCCCTTGTCCTAAATGCAATGCATACTTAATAAGGGTCTCGATAATCTGGTCATGTTATATTAGGACCACGTTCTTTGACCTCTTGTGCTAAATGAAATACATACTTCATAAGGGTCTCGATAGGCTGGTTGTTGTACGCGGTCTGTCGACCGCCCACCATGTTGCCGAGACACTGCAGCGTGTACAGGTTGCCGAATGGATTGGATTGTCTCGGATCACTGACCAGACACACCTAAAGTGAAAAAAAAAACAAGTAATAACTTTTTGTTGGGTTTTTACCAATAGATGGCGCGATATTTAATATCAGTTTTGATATAAAATTTCCTAGCTTTTAATTTTATTATAATCAATAACCCTCTTAGATGATTTGATTGTCAAATGGTATAGTAATTTTTAAAATCTATTTGCTAGCTCCGGAGACAAGTGTGAACAAAACTATGGATTTTATTTGGAATTATATAATTTGGCTTGAATACAGTAATTGTTTAAGAATAGTACAGGACAACACTTTTTCTTAACTTATTTGTTCGAAGTAGGTATCATGATATCTTACTAATATATAAATGCGAATGTTTGTTAGAAGGTTTCTCCGGAACGGCTGTATGGATTTCAATGTTTCTCCGGAACTGATGTATGGATTTCAATAAAATTTGGCATGCATATAGAAGATGGAAGAAAACATGGGTTACTAATTAAGTTTTTTTTTTAATTCTAGTTGATAGCTAGTAGTTACCTTGTCATCAACATTGAAGAGTGGTCTGACATGTTTATTATAAAACTCCTGAGGGCTCAATGGACCAAAGTTGTTGTACGCTTTCTCTTTGTTGTAGAATTCCAATGTGAACTGTTCCGGAGGAGTACCTGAGATACGAAAAATATTATTAACATTATAAATGCGAATGTTTGGATGTTTGTTGGAAGGTGAGATCCAGAACAACTGAACGGATCTCGAGGAAATTTGACATGGATGTAGAACATAATCTGGAAGAACACATAGGCTACTAATTATAATATCAGAAATGCAAATGGTTGAATATTTGGATGTACGTTTGATAGAAGATATCTCCAGAACGACTACATGGATCTCGCTGAAATTTGGCATAGATTAAGAACATAGTCTAGAAAAACACATAGGCTACTAATTATATTTTTTTAATTCCAGGCAGTTGGAGTGGCAGGCGACAGCTAGTTACAAATGCGAATGTTTGGATGTATGGATAGATAGATGTTTAATAGAAGGTATCTATAGAACGGCTGCTTGGATCTTGCTGAAATTTGGCATAGATCTAGAATATAGCCTGAAACAACACATAGGCTACATAAGTTTTTTTTAATTCTTCTCTGACGGAGTTTGTCTAAGTCGGTTGTATATTACCTAGGCAAGTAGCGACGATGTGGTATATGACAGACATCTGCGTGTCTATGGTCTTCTGTATGTCTGCCTCACTCGCGTTGGCTGACACTTTGTCTCGTAATTCTTTAGCGAATTCACGCAACTGGAATTTAATATTATTATCTGTACAATAGAAGTGTTTTTTATTGTTTTTTTATCATCTGTGGTCTAATAGTAAACTTAGTTGGTCATCTTGATTCCTTTAAATTAATATTCCTACTTATTATATACAGGGTGTCCCAAAAGGTTACGTACATAGGAAGGGAGATGATAGGGGTGGTCACAAGGGTCACCAGAAAAATAAAATAAAATTTCCCCTCTGGGTATTTAAAAAAATTAATGGCATTTTTTAAAAACCTAAATTTTTTACACCTTCTGGGGCAATTTTAATTTTCTTTAAAATCTTTGTTTTTTTTTTTATTTCATATTGATAAAGGGTTATTGACGATAACATAATAGCTTTTTTTTTAAATATAGCAATATTTGTAGGTCATTGGTTACAAAATTGCCCCAGAAGGTGTAAAATTTTTAAGTTTTTAAATAATGCCCTTTATTTTTTTTAATACCCAGAGAAGAATTTTTATTTTATTTTTCTGGTGACCCTTGTGACCACCCCTATCATCCCCCTTCCAATGTACGTAACCTTTTGGGACAACCTGTATATATGTTGCTGATAACGAATAACCAATATTTTTAATTTCCTGGCTGTCTGCAAGGCTATCTTTTTTCCAGGTAATCTCCAGAACGGGTAGTCCGATTTTAATTGGACTTAGACTGGAAAGTAGCGGATGTACGCGGGCATATTATACGCTACTAAACTAGGCTTATTATTTTAATTGTGCAATTTAGTAATCAATAAATTTATATTATTAAGTAGTAGGTGTTCAACAAGTACATTAACAGTGGGTTTTTGAGACCAAAATCGTTGTACAAAACTGAGATATAAATATATTTTAAACTGAGACATTGGTCTCGGAAACCTAGGGTAAGTATTGTTTTTTTTATATCATAAGATGGCAAACGAGCGAGCGGCCACCTGAAATCGCTGATATAGCGAAGTGACCGTTGCCCATAGACATACGCAATTGCATATGCGTTGCCTACCTTTAATCGACGGAGGAGAGGATGCACAGAACGAAAATATTTTATTTTCCCTTTCCATGCATCCCCTCATCCGGAAAGTCTACTTCCCATCCTTTCCTTATAAGAAAAAGGATGAGAAGGGAAAAAACTAAATTAGGCCTCCGGGTAACGTAACAAAAAGTAACATAAGTTTTTATTCCCTAAGTTATTCGTTAAACTTACCTTAGTTTTAATAATAGCATTCATGTGCAAGCTACGTCGCGAGCTGAACGACTCTGGGAAGCATTTCTTAGGCATGAGGCCGTACTTGTTGATCAGGTTCACGATCATATCCCACTGTCCACCATCATTTATGGGATCCTTTTAGTAACAAAATGAACAAAGCAATATGAGATATTATAAATGCGAATGTTTGGATGTATGGCTGAATATCTGTTAGAAGGTATAACCAGAACGGCTGCATGGATCTCGCTGAAATTTGGCAACACATAGCCTACTAATTAAGTTTTTTTAACACCACACGTACGGAGTCGCGGGCAATTAGTATAAAGTAACTTCTTAAATGGAATGGACTGGAACTTTTTAAATTTATTTTAGTGTAAATCTTCAGCTGCACAAAGTCCTGTTTTATGCAATTGAAATAAGGTTCTAATAACTAGACCTGGCTTTTAACTCCAAAATAATGTTGTCAAATGAATTTACATACAGTTTAACTATTTACTGTATAATTTAAAAACATGCTTTTAAACTTTAATAATTTTTAAATAATTCAATATTTAACCTTTAATAAAAAGTTGACAAGCCGACCCTCCAGTTCTTCACCTTGCCGGGCTGTCTGTACAATGTTATTCAGCCAGTAATGAGACCTTTCTATTTTGTCCCAGAAAAATAGATAACTGTGAATAAAAGTAAATGATATGCACTATGGTCGCATTAAGCTAGGTCATGAGCTAGGCTAGACTCAAGCTTACTATCATTTAACGTTGATAAAGCAGACCAAGGCTAAAAGAAGATTTAATAGCAAATAAAATTGTACTTTATAGCATTGGAATAAGGTTTAATTTTACTTTACAGATCTTTTTTAACAAAAGCAATCATTAAAAATCTTGCAAAGTAGATGTAAACATTATTCCAATGAGATAAAGCTCAATTTTATTTGCGATAAAAAACCACTGCTCTTCGCCCCGATCTGTATAAAAGAACCCTTAATATATACATTTGAATTGATAAACATATTATGGTCAGCTCACTATACGTTCCTACTGAGGGGCTCGAAGCCTATCCTAAGTTATTGACTAGGCCATAGTCAACGCTGACCTAGTGCGGGTTGATTTCACACACATCTTTGAATTTCTCAGATATATGCAGGTTGCATCACGATGTTTTCATTCACCGTAAGAACGTCGGATAAATGTACATATGTAAATCGAAAAGCATATGGGTATATGGCGTAAACATATGCCCCAATTATATTGTTTGCCAATTTCTGCCTTATCGCGGTTAAACAGCAACAGGAAGTATTGATAAATTTAAAGACAATATAAATAAATTGAATTTATATTTCATGCGTAGAGTACATTTAGAGGTTATTTTCTTAGATAAAAATTGTGTAAAAACTTTTTAATTTATTGGAAGAATATAAATTATATATAAAATTCTTGTGTCACAATGTTAGTTACCATACACCTCTGATACGGTTTGACTGATTTATATATATTCAGTAAGTCTGACAATTGTTTTTTTAAATATTATAAGGTGGCAAACGATCGATCGGTCACCCAAAATCAAGGGAGGGGAGGGGGTTATGCACAGAAAGAGAATATTGTCCCTTCCACTTCCTATCCTTTGGTTACTATCTGTACCCGCACGGAATGAGTCGCGGGCGAAAGCTAGTAATCTAAAATTATCTAGAAATGCTTCTACATTACACTTGTTATTTTGATAATAGATAAGATAATTTTATCGATTCAATTGCTTGTATATATTTATATAAACTGATAAAATAACAAAGACAAATATTACATAAGTAAAATTATATTATATAGTCTTATTATATATTTCTGTTAGAAAACATAGCTATTAATCTGGAGACCTAATCCCTCCTTCATCATCAGCTCACTGTACGTCCCCACCGAGGGGCTCGGAGCCTACCCTAAGTTAAGGGTGATTAGGCCATAGTCAACCACGCTGGCCAAGTGCGGGCTGGTTGACTTCACACATATCTTTGAATTTCTTCTCAGATATGTGCAGGTTACATCACGATGTTTTCCTTCACCGTAAGAACGTCGGATAAATGTACATATGTAAATCGGAAAACGAAAAACACATTGGTACATTGCGGGATTCGAACCCAGGACCTGCAGATTGCAAGTCATGTGCTTGACCCCTGAGCCACCGACGCTCTAATCCCTCCTTATTGCTTTAAAATATGTACTAATTTACGATATGAGAAATATTATTCTTTGGTTCACTTGTTTATTCACAAGAATTCTCTACAAGCAGAGTACTGTTGCCAGTCTCTAACAAGTTTAAACAGAACCATAAACACTTGACATTGGCCAAATCCGATGAGGGAGAGCCATAAACAAGAAACAGAACAGAGTTATATGAAATGACAAAAAATGTAATGTAAATAAAAAAATTAATAAGAAACCATTTGTTAAAATACATACCCTTGAGAAAATTCAAACTCATCAAGTCCATATTTCTTCATGAATGGCAATCGCATAACATTGAGTGCAGCAAATAACCAGCACCGACCAGTATTCTCTTGGTTAGTCACCGGCTTACCTTCGGACTCCAACTAAAATATAATTTAAATCTTATTAATATTATAAATGTGAATGTTAGTTAGAAGGTATCAACGGAACGGCAAGAACACTGTATGAACAAGAACACATAGGTTAATTTATGTTTATGATAGGTTATCTTTAATATATAATTCTTTTATATATATATATATATAAATATCAATAATTTTTAAACTTGCACTTAAATACTGGATAAGTGAGAGTACCAGGGGAATAAAACACGGATGTTGTCCGTAAGGACTACACAAATACTCTTGCTTACCCAGGTTTAACTGTAGATACTTATCAGATTTATAAAATTTGTTTACAATGTTACCTTTACATATAATATTAATGTTAAAAAAAGAATTTTACTAAACATGTTCCATGCCGTTACAATTTTTTAGTATGAAAGTAAGTCAATGGCATTTTTTTAATTTTCATAATGAAGATTTTAAACAATCTAATAAATATACTTAGTTGTGAAAATATCACCTTGATGTTATAGACATGTAAAGTGCTATCAGCTTGTCTCCTTCTAATAGCAACTTCGAATGGGTCAAACCGTGTGCATGCATTCTGAGCCAATTCATTCTTTGGATCTGCATAGTATTTCTCTTTCAATTTACTTAATGTCACCAAACTAAGAGGTTCTGAAAACAAAACATTCAAACATTAGTTAATAGCTTTGGAAGCTTATTTTTTATAAAAAGTGGCAAAGAGCAAGTTGTTACAGATTTGACTTTTGGAAATAACTAAGTGATCATTGCACATAGACATCTGCAACTTGTAAGGCGGCAGATGAGTCCTTTAACTATTTATTTCTTTGCCTACAACTTTCTCTTCTTACATTAATTGAAGAGTAAGGAGAGGATTATATGAGGCCATAAGAGCTTGTGGTCTGTAATTTTTTCAATACTGATTTTAATTAATAAATCTGCTCTTAACAATAATTCATAGCGCCATAGTGGCCTAAATTTAGTTCACCATCTTAGCCTATTTGAAAGTATGTTTTTAATTTAACTATTGTTTAGGTAATTATGCCACTCTGGCTCTTATAGCCTTATATTAGAATGCATTGCAGATTTACTTCACCTATTTAGTATTGTTTTCAAATTTAAGCAGTATTAATATTTAAATAACTCAAACATTCTTTTTTATAATTTGAAGGATACCAACCACCCACACATCTCTGATCTCCATGGTCGAAAAAGTCTCCCAGTTTTATGCCTTTAGTTGTTTAAAATTATATGAAATTAACTCACTTGAGTGGAGAAACTCAATGCCCATGAAGTATTGTTTGTTTTTATAACAAAGTGAATTATATAATGTAATTTTGATTAATTTATTAATTATCCTATTCATTTAATAACATACGACGATTTGAATTCATTTTTTTAAATTGATTTGACAATTTGTGATAATTAGTGCGTTCAAAATGACAATTAGCTAATTTCTTCATAAATTCTGTTGCTGAAGTGCAACCTACTTATAAAATAAAATGGTAAAATACATAAAAAACTTACCCGTGGACATTGCTGCGGCAATCTTTATCGATGGTTTGTATTTAAATAAATTTGATAAAATGGATTTAAAGAGCATTTAAAGCATACACAGTTGAATAATTAACACTGTAATCTTATCGTAATCCACGTGTCATTAAACAAATGAAATTTAATCCGTTGAAATGAAAGGGAGGGAAATTATAAAATTGTTTGAATTTGAACTACTTTCTCACTCATTCGTGTTTTTTTAATGACAGATGACGGCAGATGACTTTCAGTTTTATTTAAGCGGGAGGGGGCATTGAACTCCTTCATCTGTCAAGCAGCTGTTTGCTGTTTAATTGATCATTAAAAATGATTAACTTGTAAAAGAAAAGAAATTGTTTCTTGTTTATTTAAAAATAAATCTAAGTAATTTAATAGGAATTAATATTTCAGAAACTGAATCCGGTTTCTGAATGAAATTCGTTATATTGCAATTTTCTTTTTGAGTATGGCAACAATGACGTTTAACTTTAAGCGCTGTATTTAAATTTATTACAAAAAAGCAGTATTATTTCTTGGTCGTATTTCTTCGAATAATAATGGTAGTAATACATTTAAATATGATTTATTTAATTTTTTTACCGGGGGCTTCGAGTGCCAAGGTCGTGTCTACTAGCAGTTTTATCTGTAGGGAGAGAAAATCAATATTAATTTTTTGACACTACTGTTAGCTCTCTCTCTCTCTTTTCCCAGCTATTTGTGTTTCATACTTGCTTTACTTTAGTATTAAATAATTTTGCACTTGTGAGATATGCATTATAAATTGTTTCCTAAATGTAACGTTAAATAATTGCTAAATTAAATAGTCTTACATAATATAAAAAATGTCGCTAAAAGCTTATGAAGATGCGTGTACCAGGGCTGAATTATTCGGTCAGCCTTTGCCTGATAGAGAAGAATTTTTGGAGAAACACAAATACATGGATGTTGTAGAATTCGAAGAAGTGGATATAAGAACTGCCGAGGTAAAGAATATTTTTCCTAATTATGTGTCGCAGTAATTAATAGCGTAGTATGACAAATGCCTTCAAAACGTCGATATAATTTTAATTAGTGCATATCATATTTATTTTGACCAGTATTCGGTAATCAAAATTTAACTTTCTCACATTCTTTTGATAAAATTTGTTAAAATTCTTCGCTAGCTTAACCAGTTTCTCACTAGATGGCAGCACTAGTTTAAAACTAACACTTTATAAGTAATTTGGTTGATGAAGATGAGTCTCGATGAGTTAGTTTGGCTAATCTATTTAAATTTTATTATTTCAGAATTCAGCAATGTTAGATGACGACATAAAACACGCAAGTAGTGGCTTAGCCGAGTTAAATACGATTTTGTCTTCTACACAGACGAAATTAAATCGCCTAAAGGTAATTTATATGATGTTAGCAGTCGCCCACGACTCCATGTAATCCTCCGTACTCCGTCGAATGAAAAAAAAATCCCATGTGTTTTTTTCAGACTGTGTTCTAGATCTTTGCCAAATTTCAACGAGATCCATGCAGCCGTTCTGGGGATACCTTCTAGCATCCATCCATCCATCTAAACATTCGCATTTATAATAGTAAGATAAAAATATAATTTTTCAATATAATAAAAAATATGTAACTACATATTAATAACGTATTTTTCAGGGTGTTTGTGGCAGTCTTACTAATTTTTTTCGTGTCAAACTAACATCGAAGGATAACCTCTCATATTCTAGTGAACCAAGTTACATCGGTCAAGTGCATTCAAACAACACAAAAGATACAGGTTCTATTAACACTGGTCTCGGTCCTGATGATAATGAATTCAAGCGAATTCCAAAGATAAAACAAAATGGCGCCGATATTAATGCAGCGCTAGATGATTTAGAAAATATGCAGAAAATTGAGAAAACACCAATATTAAGAATTGATAAACAAGTAAACTCACAGAATAGTAAATTAGATAATTTAATAATGCAAGCTGATAAAGCTCAGTCTTCTTTGCAACATCAGAATAAACAAATGCGAAGTTTTTTACGATAACTTCTTTACTTTATGGTTTCAGACGAAACAACTAAACATATAGTCATCTCTATCACTCTCTTTGAGAAAATAGAGATAACAATATGGATGCAGTGTTGTAACTGTTGTAATCGTGATCTGACAGATTCGCGAATAATTTTTTTTTTATCAAATAATTGTGCATGAAATTGATATTAACTTTTAGCTTATTGTGTAGAAAGTTTATTGTACTATAAACTTTTTAATAAAAATATAATTATGCCAAAGATAAGCACCAATGGTAGAGAAATTAAGGAACAAAAGGTGCCATGGTACGAGCATGTTATGAGGAGGAAAGAATGACAAGTGACAAGGATACATTTAATTATAAATGTAGAGGGGTACACTATTAGTAGTAGACCTGAGAACAAATGGGTGGATTGTATGATTGGTGACACGATCTAGAAAGGAATAACGACAGTGATTACGGACAGATTGATTTGGAGGACAAAAATTAGTGCACCAACCTTAGGGAACATACCCATACTACGTGACCTATTTAGTTTTTTCGACCCCTCCCTCCCCTCGATGACCACTCGTAGTACATGCCAAGACACCCCCCCCTCCTTAGTTTTCAGGTAGTAAGTTATAATTATGATTTTTAATCATTTCACAGGCAAAAATTTAAAAAAATTTGCTTATACTCTTTTTTATAGAATAAGACTGCATGAATACTTAAATTACTAGTGTGTGATAAGGACAAGAAGATATTTTAATAAAGCTGATGAATATAAGAAATGTTTATTTAAAAAAAAATCTTCGAATATAGAGAATGAATACCATAGATTACTTAATATATAATTATAATCTGTATATCCATAATTTTATTATGCGTTGCTTATAGCTGGCTAGCTTTAATTGTCATATTTTAACAAATAGGTGTTTCCCGTTGGACCGTTCAGCCCAATAAGGACCATTGGACTAATTGATCGGTAGTACTATCAACAGGAAACACCTAATAATATCTATAAAAACATATACAGATATATTTGACAATGCATTGTGATATGAACGGCTGTTTTAATATACGCTATATTTTTAATTCTGTTATTTTAATGTTGAATTAAATGAAAAAAATAAACAATTACTTCGTTTCATTACATTCAGTGTAAACACTAACGTTAATGAAGGACGTCGTCCAATAATAAGGAAAACACATCTTCCTTATCGTTACAAATACTAAAGAACTACGACATTGTGATGCAGGGTCGGACAAAAACTGAACCGTCTGAAGCATAACAGCGTCTTATATAAATATCTGATTATTGTACCATGACATTAAAGTACAAAGTAAACGTAACGATGTTAGTCGCGATCATTTTTCAACTTATAGTTGCAACTATCGCAAGTTCATATCACAAATATCCATTAGTATTTCTATTAGATGTAGGCAATGAAGAATTAACAAACACAAATACAGAACAGATAAGAATATCAATACCAGGAGGATCATTAGCTGTTAGATATCCGGCAATATCTGATGGTGACCTGATAACGCATTTACGAGTGAGTAGCATTGATTTCGGATCTGATTTGAAAGCTAGTATCTTAGACGGTGGACCTGGTTATAAATACGTTGTTCTTGTATTCCTGGGTAACCCTGGTGTGAAATGCGATGCAGTTATAACGTTACAAACGCTAAAACAAATATCTGGTGATCCATCTATTGCTAATTGGAAGGTTAACTCAAAATCTGATAGTGAAATTAATAGTGAAGTAATGAACAATGAAAATAAAGATTTAATAAAAAATAAAAAGAATCCAGATTTAACAGAAGAAAGTTCTAATATAAATGATTACGCTAAATATAATTATGAAAGTGATGAATCAGAAGAAATTAAAGATGAATTAGATGATGTTAAAGGACAATTACAAGATGAGGATTCAAATGAAGATGAAATTAAAAAATCATCAAATGATAGCGATGAAAGTGAAGATGATGATGATCATTCAGAAAGATTATCAAGCTACCAAAGTAAATACGATAATGAAGTTGAAAATACAATAAATGCTAAATCATTAGACCAAGATGATAAAATGTATATACAAGATTCAATATACGACGCACAAGGTTATAATCCTGATGAAGATTCCATTGAATTAGATCAGATATTTAATGATGAAGAAGTACATAACGATGCAAATAAATTTAAAGATTCTAATAATAATTTTGATACTGAGTACGGATCCGCGGTGGCGTGAAAGTAAATGAAGCGTAAAATAACTTTTTAAAATGTAAAAATATAGTTTTAAATAGAATTAAGTGTTGATTTAAATCAATAATATATAAAATTATTTAGTTAGATACCAAAAATTAAATAAATAAATGTATGTAATACGTTATTTGCAAAAACGTAACCTTAAAGTTCGTTATGGATAAGCTATTTTGTTAAATGTCATTAAAATGCATTCCGAAGGAGGTTTTCTATACATAAAGTTGGTGTGTCTGTGATATAAAAAAAAATTACCGCGCTAACAAAGTCGCGGGTCACTGCTAGTAAGTTATAATATTTCTTGCTGAAGTTAAATGTCAAAATTGGGCCAGTCGTTACGGAGATTATTCGGAACAAACGCAGATTTGCGTACAGAAAGACAGATCGACAAAAAATATCATTTTTTTTTTGTTATAAGTAACGCATAAACACATGAAAAACGTGTCGTTCAAACATAAATTGTTTATCAAAAGTAATAAAATGATTTTGTTTACAAATTACGTTTTATTTATCTCCACTTATTTACTCTGTGACATTTTCCCTGCATAGATTATGTCGGTAATTTTCTATGTAGGCGTACACGCGTTCGGGCCGATTGAATATTAGTCACAGGCAAATTATGTACACCGCCTGTTTGTACTTTACCTAGGTAAATCGACAAACTGAATATCAAATGAAATCATCCACCATCATCTATCCTTGTACCACATAGGGTCGGCGTACCAGTTTTTGTCCTCCATATCAATTTATTCACCGTCATCTCATTCGTCTACCTCTCCTTAATCATGTCACCTCTCACTTGTTTATTACCTAGGCATATTATAAAGGTGCGGAGTAGCCGAATTGCCGGTAACATAACCATTTGAAATCAATTTGAAAAGTTTCACGTGTATCGTCTCAAGGATGGATTTTATCTGAAAATGATAATTTAACTTATATACAAATTTATCTTTATAAATAACTCCTTAGTCCGTAATAAATCTTGCGCGTGTAAGAATTGGATACACGAGCTGGTTAAAAAGTCCTTAAATTTGTTTGTTTTTTTTTTAAATCAAAATTATATTAACTACTGGCCTTCTGCCTGATGCTGGCTAATGCACAAGCCGTGTCGAAACCAAAAATAAAGAAGAAGAAGAACTACTGGCTGTCATCCATGCCTCTGTCCGTGCAAAATTTAAAAAAAAAAACTTAATTAGTAACGTTATGTTTATATCAGACTATGTTCTATGTATGCCTAATAGTGAGGTGATAGCAGCTATTATGAAGATACCTTCTAACAAATATCCATTTAAACATTCGTATTTATAATATAAGTAAGATAAGTACGTTACCTACAGTTTGATTGTAAATTAAATCGATTTGAAATTGTAATTTTTATTGTAACAGGATACAGGCTATCCGTTTTGTAAATTTAACCGTCGAAAACACTCGAAAATATTAAGGTACGTTTCCAACAAACTAAATTTTAATTTCTTAATTTACTTTATCAAAGAAATATGAGAGGTAAACAGATATTGACTTTCAATGTTGCTGCTAGTAATAGTCAGCAACAGGGGATTCAGAAAAAGTATTTTTAAATATAAAAAAGAAAAGAATTGTTTCTACGCAATGCTCTCTTGTATAGGGCTTTACTATTAAATTCTAATTCAGATGTAGTAAATGTTGTCAAACTTTATATGCCTGTCCAAATTGTATTTCAAAGAAAAATCCCTTTTTCAGACATGTTACAAGAAAAAAGTAATTTGGATTAGTGAAAACGTAACCTAAATTATGTATTTCGATCAAGAGACGAATTTGTAAAATTCATTTGGATCTAACGGTCGATAGAAATTCAAATTTCGAACGTTTCAGGAGAACGTTCTAAAATCCTCGTTTCGAAAGACCGCGAAACCGTTTTGTGATGAATTATCCAGATTTAGTTCTGGATACATATCGTTTAAAATGTAATCTGTTTTTTGAACGATTACGCGTCTTTATACACGTTCAGATAAAAAAAATCGTTAAATTTTCTTGAGTTTATTTTGACAAAGAAAAATTTTGACTATGCAATAAATAATTTAATAAATGTTTTTTTATATCATAAGATGGCAAACGAGCGAGCGGCCACCTGAAATCGCTGAAATAGCGAAGTGACCGTTGCCCATAGACATACGCAATTGCATATGCGTTGCCTACCTTTACTCGACGGAGGGGAGGATGCACAGAAAGAAAATATTTTCCCTTGCCATGCATCCTCTCATCCGGAGAGTCCACTTCCACTTCCCATCCTTTCCTTAGTAGAAAAAGGGTGGGAAGGGAAAGAGGACTAAATTAGGCATCCGGGACGCACACTCATCAGACGAAACGCGGAATTGTTTCCACTTCCACGCCTGTCTTCTGTGTGGTCGTGGTATTTCACCGGGTGAACCGGGCCAATTCGTGCGAAGATGTTAAAGCGGGCTCTACTACTGTTAAAGTGTGTGTGTTTAGTAAAACTACATTACCACGCAAACTTTATGACAGCTCAGAATATGGCAACACACAATGCATTGAATACAATATTAGACGTAGACAGGATGCAAATGGATTGTGGACATTCATAGAGACTACCACCAATTGGTCTATGTGACCTTCGAAGGCATGCGTTATCAGGTAACCATGACTCACAAGATATTTGAAATGAACTATAAGTAAGAATTATTATTCCGCTATATATGTATCGTTTAGTATACACATAATACGTACATACTTATTTATTAAAACTTCACAAAATACGCATTAAGACACGGCCTCTGCTTAGCATCCTTTGCATTAAACAAAATCCTTTAATTCTGATTTCTGACATCTGGCCATCGAATATTGAACACATAAACGGTCCAATTCGAATTTCAAATGGCACATTCGAAAATAGAACGCCGACGTCCCGTCCTAGAGATGAACCGCTATCGAATAAATAGGGTATCAATTACCGTTACTTTTATACGATTTATCGATATTTTGAAAATTATAATTCGGTAAATCTAGAAAAATAAACTTAGACTAGACTTTGTTGTCATTTATTTTGTACGTTTTTGATCTATAAATTACTTATTTTGGTGTATTTGCAATTATCATATATTCTAAATATGTAGGATATTAAAAATCGAATTAATTTTTTTTTAAAAGTTAATACACTTTTTGTAAAGAGTTGACTTAACTTGTTTTAAATATTTTAATTAAAATGAGCGTTGATATGATGATTTATATTTCTGTAACTCTTACTCCGACTTGTATAAAGAAATGTCTTTATTCTTTGAACATAAGTTGAATTATTTTAAATATTTATATTTCGCAAGTGTCTTCGATCGGATATATTTAAAAATA